TAAAAAAATAACAAATATTAATTTTATGTAAAGAAAATGTTTACTGTTAAGAAATATTTTGAGCATAAAAAATAATGCATTTAAATTTCGTGTAAAGAAATATTTGCTGCATAAAAAAACTTAATTAACTTTATTAAAAAAAATAAAAGTAAATTTTAATTTCGTGTAAAGAAATATTTGCTGCATAAAAAAATAATTAACCTCAAACTTTGTAAAGAAATTTTTGTTATATAAAACTAACTTTAATTAAAAAAAGAAAATTATAAATTTTAATTTTCTATGAAGTATAGTTTGCTGTATCTGAACAAAGCATGCACTGTCACCTTCGAAAATTAAGGTCCACAAGCGCGCAAATTAGTAAACAACCAAATTAAATAATTAATTATTAACTTAGATTTTTATTAATCATTATATGTATGTATACTATATATTTAATTATATAAAAGAGAAAACACTTAGCTTTGTGTGTTTGTAGCGCAAACGAGTTTATGAAATACTTTTTACATTACTACTTTAATTGCTATATTAAAATTTATCACAAGTTTTACGCTTTTTTAATTTTTTGCGTTTTATTTTTTTTTTTAACTTTTTTGTTTTTGTTTTTTCTTTTTTTTACATTTTGTCTTTAACTCCATAACTAGTACAGTACATAAAAGTGAGCTTACTTAGCAAAAAAGAAAAAATAAACATAAATATTTTTTTGTTTGTGTAAAAAATGACATTTTCGTTTATTACTCACTTCACTTCATTATTAACCTCTGTTACTGCTTACTTAACATTATTTGTGCTCATTTTCTAATAACTTTTAATTCAAGTATTATTTATTTTTAGCAAATTCTGTACTTTTCGTTTTAATATTTTTTGATTTTTCATTTGCGTGTATGTGTTTGTGATATTAATTTTTGAAAATTGTTGATTTAAATTTCGTGGAACTTTAGTGTAGAAGGCATGCTGTAGCATGAGCAACAAACGGACAACTTAACTGTCAAAATAATTAGTTTGCCGCTTATTATATTTGTGTTTGTATAAAAAAAGGTAAATTTTTTGTTTTAAAACTACCAACACCTACATATGTATGTATGTATTACTTTTTTGTTTGTTTTGTTTTGCTATGAATGACCCAACAAAGTTTGAAAAAAAAATTACAACTACAATAAATATGAAAAGCGCCAGCAGGAGCGTAGAAGAGGAGGGCGGCAACTTGGTTTAGTAGCTTTTCGCTGCATAAAAACAAAAATCAATAAAAATAGAAACTTGTGGAAATCGATGCTGTTGCAGCTGGCGGCACAGCGGCCATTTCATGCAACCACTCCAAGTCCATGGCGTCCTGTTGCTGTGGCGCAACATAATAATCATAGCAATGAGCGCATTGGCATTGCTGTTGTTGGTTAGTCGTTGTTGCCACGGCTGAATGCTGATAATAAAGCTCCAGCTCGGTGGCATATGCTGGCGACGTGACGCGTTGCTGCTTGAAAGGTTTTAACGACTTTTGTTGCTGCGGCGCGGTTTGTTGTTTGTAGTGCTGCTGGTATTGTTGTTGCTGCTGATGATGATGATGTTGGTGCTGATAAAGATGATAACGGTAGTGATGACGCTGTTGCTGCTGCTGGTGTTGACGTTGCTGATGACGCTGTTGTTGGTGCTGCTGCTGCTGTTGTTGTTGATGATGTTGTTGCTTTTGCATTTTAAACCAATTCGCATAGTGCTGCAACAGCAATTTTCAATCTTTCTGATGCGTTTGATGATGATGGGCGTGCGCATGCGCTGAATGTTGCCGCTGCTGTTGTTGTTGTTGCTGCTGCTGCTGCGCCTGTTGCACTTGCTGTGTGTGCATATGTGACAACTGCTGTTGCTGTTGTGGCGCCTGCGCGTGCTGATGATGATGATGCTGTTGCAAATGCGTCGCTGCGCCCAGCATTGCATGTTGTTGTTGCTGTTGCTGCTGTGGCGACATGCCATTGTGACTGAGTAACGTACTTACGCTGCCGCCACCGCTGCTACTGCTGCTTGTGTTGCTGCTATTGCTGATGTTGCCACTGCCGTTTGTGGCATCGGATTTGCGCAGCAAGTAAATGGAGCCATCAGCGGCCTGTTGCAGCGTGTATTCGGACGTTGAGCAGGGATTGCCCTCGGGATCGCGCAAGTACTGCAGAAAAATGGAATGTCACGTGTTAATTGGATTTAATTTTTTTCTGCTTAAATTTAGTTGAATTTTGTTTTTAATTAATTAATTTAATTTAATTTATTTTAATTTAATTTAATTTAATTTAATTTAATTTATTTTAATTTATTTTTTTTTTTGTTGCTTTAATTTAATTTAGTTTAATTTTATTTTAACTTAATTTAATTTAATTTAATTTAATTTAATTTAATTTAATTTAATTTAATTTAATTTATTTTAATTTAATTTAATTTATTTTAATTTAATTTAATTTAATTTAATTTATTTTAATTTAATTTAATTTAGTTTAATTTAATTTATTTTAATTTTATTTTATTTTGTTTTATTTCTGTCTCTTATACACATCTAGATGTGTATAAGAGACAGCCATTACATAATCACTCTTTATTACATTGAGATTTGAACCAAAAATTAACTAAGCAAAAAAAAATATTTAAAAGAAATTAAAAATTTTAATTTTTTCTAAGGAAATAAAAAAAATACTTTTAATTATGATTTAAACAAATTTTTGCTTAAAATATTTCATAAAGCAACAATTACATAATCACTCTTTATTACATTGAGATGAGGTTTTATAAACATATCATATTAATATTCAGTTTACTTCAAAACACACTTTCGGAAATTAATTTGATTTCGAACATTTCACTGAAAGTTCTACTCACTTGGAATATGTGTCTGTGCAGCGCCGCGAACTTGTTCGATATGCGCTTACGCTCCAAAGCCAGACTGTCGCGATCCGAATGCAACTGCTCCTTGCGGCGGCGCACCTCTTTCACCTCGTCTTCCAGCGAGAGTATCTGATCGAGCTTACGTTTGCGACAATTCTGTGCGGCGACCTTGTTTTTGCCACGTCGACGTATGTCGCGTATCAGTGACAGCTGATTCTCGGTCAAATCATACTTGGACAGACGTTCGTTGAACTCATCCATGGGCAAATTGATGATATCGCTCACTGCTATGGGAATATTCAGAGCGCGTGCGCGCTTCTCGTCACGTGTCAAATGCTCCTCCTCACCATTGACGGATTTAGAGGACTTTGACGATGAGGTGGAGAGTTTCTTGTCGCGCGCCTGTGGCCGAGGCACAGAGCCTGTGCCCTGGGGCAGTGTGTACGTGTGGTTGTGTTGAACGACCTCGTGCGGTGTGCGCGGCGGACGTTGTGCGAAATCCAGCGTATAGCCACCCATTGCGCCTGCAACTGCGGGTCCATACTTCAAATCGTATGCCTGCTGCTCCTTGTTACTTAACACCGGTCCTATAGCACCTTCGGCATTGAGTGCACCGCCAGCGCCGCCCGGTTGTAGACCGGGTACGGTTGGATATGCTTCGTATTCATATTTAATCGACTGTGCGGGACCAATATTTAGTAGTGAATTTGTGCCAGTCGGTGGCACAACACCGATATTACTGCCATTGTCAGCGGTTGTAGGCGTCGCGCCCAAATCGGGTTGTTCATTGAGAAAACGTTTGCCAAACATTTGATGTTTCTTCTGTGCTACGGGCGGTTGACGTGTGCCGTCGTTCATGCGATTATTATTATTATTATTGTAACTATAGTCATACGGTCTACCGTATTTGCCTTGGTGATAATCTTGCGCCGAATCGCTACCTTCACCCCACTCACCATCCGAGAGGGATGGTACACGCTCCGAGCCCATTGAACTGACTGCGCTATCGCTGGAGGCGTCCAAACGATCACCGCCGGCACTCGTGCCACCCGCACCCGAACCCAAGAGATCGGCTGTCATACCGCCAGCGAGCGCACTATTCGTAGCGCCAGCACCGTTCATTGCGAGTCCGTTAGTTGATGAACCTGTGGCACTACCGCCGCCGCCGGCGCTTGCATGACCGTTGGAGAGACCAGCGCTGCCGCCGAGTACCGACGAGTTATTGCTTGTGCTATTGTTTACGTCAACCATGCGACAGAAACCTGAAATTAGGTAAGGTAAAACAGTTTTTGTAGAATGACAAGCATAATTTTGCTAAAAATTAATTATGTTAGAGATAACGGATATAACGAAGGTGTTGTAAATAATTGCTAAAATATTTAAGAACAACAATTAGCAGACTTTCTGGCGCAGCCAGTTTAGTTTTATCCACTAAGTGTATGGTCGGGTGTAGGCCTAGGAAATTAACAGATTTGGTGTCTTTTAAGTGATTACTCACTGTTATAGTACCCGTTTTCAAAGGTAGCGAACATTAAGCCCTAAACAGAAACTACTTAATAAATTACTGACAAATAATTAAATAAAATTAATTAAATTAAAAAAATTTTAAATTAAACA